AATATTGGGTAATTCACCATTGATTTCTAATAAATCAATATCAGCGTTGCTCCATCTTGGAAGAGTGGACAGCCAACTCCGAGCAGAACCATCAGTGGGGAATTCTGGGCATTGTGGTCCCATTGTCTTGAGGTTAGCAAAGTGGTCTCCCTTCCCATGCTCCACCACCGATTGGTATCCTTTTGCTCCCAATCCAGAGGATCCGAGCCACTGTGAATACTCAGGAGCAGAAGAGGTTGGTGATGGACCTGGATGTCTCCATGAGGACAGTGGATTGCTTCTACACCGTCACTTTCTACGGAGCCCTTTTCAGAGAGGTATCCAAAATCAATCCAGAAACCCTCCTAACTCCCCGGTGAAAGCCACTCCAGGTTCAAATACAGGTAGCCCTTTGGGCTTATGACCACAACGGATCTCAACATTTCTGCTGCTAAGGGAGACATTGGTTCAATGAGTTTTGCTCCATTTTACAACCGGCAGTTAAGTGAATGACTGCAGTGTCAGAGTCATGGTGGTGCAGTGGTTAAAATGCAGTACTGCAGGCTACTTCTGCTGACTGCCGGCTGCCTGCAATTTGGCAGTTCGAATCTCTCCAGGCTCCAGGTTGACTCAGCCTTCCATCCTTCCGAGGGGGGTAAAATGAGGACCCAGATTGTGGGGGGGGGGGGGGGGGGGGGGAGCAAGAGGCTGACTCTGTAAACCATTTAGAGAGGGCTGTAAAAACACTGTGAAGCAGTATATAAGTCTGCTAATGCTTGGGAAGGAAGGAAGGGAAGGGAAGGAAGGAAGGAGTGGTTAGAATGCAGTGTTTCAGGCTAACTCTGCCCACTGCCAGGAGTTTGATTAAGGTAGACTCAGCCTTCCATCCTTCCAAGGAGAGTAAAATGAGGACCCAGATTGTTGGGGGCAACAGGCTGACTCTGTAAACCGCTTAGAGAGGGCTGTAAAGCACTATAAAGCGGTATATAAGCCCTATTGCTGTTGCTACTGTATTTCCCTGAAAATAAGACCTAACTGGAAAAAAATAAGCCTGATTTTTCAGGATGCTCATAATATAAGCCCTACCCCAGAAATAAGCCCCAGTTAAGATCGTCAACCAGATGGATGCATTTAGTACATCCATTGCAACAACAGCAGCAACAAAATAACATCACCTGCAAATAAGCCCTAATATGTCTTTTGGAACAAAACATTAATATAAGACCCGGTCTTATTTTCGGAGAAATATGGTGGTAGCACAATTGTTAAGTGAATCTGGCTTCCCTATTGACTTTGCTTGTCCGGTGGTCACAAAAAAATGATCACATGACCCCTGGACGCTGCAACCGTCATAAGTACATGCCAGTTGCCAAGCGTTTGAATTTTGATCATGTGGCTTACAAGGAGTCTGCAATGATTGTAAGCGTGAAAAACAGCCAGAAGTCACTTTTTCCAGTGCTGTGGTAGTTTTGAACCGTCAGTAAATGCATGGTTGTAAGTTAAGGACTACCTGTGCAGGGTTCCCTTCCTCAATAAGGATGGGATGTGTTGTCTGAACTGAGCAAGGAAGGGGTTTTATGTGATGTTTCTGAAGGAACGTAACCTCTTCTCTGGTTCTCAGGGCGATGTGTGGATCTGCATGGAATTGATGGACACGTCTCTGGATAAATTCTATAAGAAGGTTCTGGAGAAGAAGAAGAACATTCCTGAAGATATTCTAGGAAAAATAGCCGTGTCTGTGAGTGTTTGCTTTACCTGCATGACATTATCCCCGTGTTTACCAAAGCAGAAGGATAAGAAGCAATGGATGGAAACTAACCAAGGAGAGAAGTGACCTAGAACTAAGGAAAAAATCGCTAGCAGTGAGAACAATTAATCAGTGGGACAAATTCGGAAATTCTGGGTGTACCAAGACTGGAGACTGGACAGCCACCTGTCACAAAATACTATAGGTCTCCTATGAGGGAGTTGGACTAGATGACCTCCAAGGTCCCTTCCAATTCTGTTATGGTTAAGATGATTTACAATTTATAAATTATAAATCTATCCGGTAAATTAATAATCCTCCTTTCCTTTCTATAACGGGAATAAAAATATCCTTTTCCGTGACTAGATTCTGGTGGATTAAACCTTAATTTCACGGGTGGTTCGTAGAAACCCGAATTTCAAAAATGGTGCCTTGAGGTTTCCAGGGCCAAAATCCTTGTCCCGTTTTGCCTTGGTTCAGAGCACTGAACAAACTTGGCTTTATTAAAATGGGAAATAAAACTTCTAAAGTTGTCCTTTATTGGAAGGAAAAAGATACACCAGATTCTAGTGGAAGGCTTGGCTTGTTCTTTTAACACTAGGTTAGTTTCCTCCAAATGTTAATGTGGAAGATTTGATTGATTGTGTGCCATCAAGTTGTTGACTCTAAGCAACTATGTAGACGGAGGACTTATAACCATTTCCTGCTAAACTGTTCCTCTTTACTTGTGGTTCCTAAACTGGAGTAATTAGCCCAAGAGTTAATCTGGGCATATCCTGGAGATAATGAAAACCTCACCCCTATCTCTATGGTTCTGGTTTTCTGCAGTTTTATGCAATTTTCAATGCATAGTTTTTTAAAAAGTTAATTGGTTTTTTTTTAATTGACCTTTTCATGTTCTGTAAGCCGCTGTATCGGGGAGATGGATGGCATATAAATTTAAACAACAAATAAAATAAGCAATAGTTCTTTTTTGAACTATTACCATCTGGCAAATTGTACAGGATAATAAAAACAAAGACAAAATAGGCTGAAAAACAGCTTCTATCCCAGCTCTTTTGAATTGTACCGTATAGTGCAATATTAATGCGATATCAGGGGCTTTCAATTCAATGTATAGAATGTGAAGGATGTATGTTTGTGTTTATTTTCGTAGTCATAATGTACACTGAAGATGGCATTTAATTTCATTGTACGAGGTGCAGTGACAAACTAAACTAAACAAAACTGAACAAAATAAGGCAGCCATTTGTAATCCTTTCTTTATGAGTCAGGGATCCAGTGTGGGTCTGTTGCAATGCCTGTATAAAAGGACAGAGTTTGAAGGTTTTGTAGGGGTGTTTGAGACCATTGAGAAAAAAATGGAATTAAATGGTTTAAGCAGCTGCTGGAAAGTATGTAGTTGCGAGAGCATCCCACAACTTACGGGCATCTGTTGTTTCTCTCCTTTTTCCTTTCTTCAGATTGTGCGAGCACTGGAACATCTCCACAGTAAATTGTCGGTGATTCACAGAGGTGGGTTTTAATTGCAGATCCCATCAAGATGATAGAGAAAGCAGCTGACGGTTAATAACACAGGTGGAGCCGAGATTCGAAGTTAGATCCTTCGGTTAAATGACAGGCTGTCCTCATTTAGCAACCACACAAGTGGGACAGGCAATTCCGTCACTAAGTGAAACAGTTTCCCAAGTGGGAAATCGCACGATGGCGGCTGTGTTTTCCTTCCAGAGTAGTACAGGTAGTCCTTGCCTTACAACAGTTTGTTTAGTCGCTGCTCAAAGTTACCGTGGCCCTGAAAAATATAAACTTTGCAACCATTTTTCACCAGCATCCCCGTAGTCACACACTCAAAACTCGACAACTGGCATGTATTTGTGACAGTACTAATAAAGGAGAATATCTGTAGCTCGAGGTTGGCATGAGGGCTCCTTGGTGCTCTCGGAGCTGGTTTGTTTTCTTGCAGACGTTTCATGACCCAACTGGGGAACATCATCAAGGCTCAGGATGAAGGACTAGCACTGATGATGTTACGCAGTTTGGGATATGAAACGTCTGCAAGAAAACAAGCAAGCTCAGAGACCGTGAAGAACTCCACAGTCCTTCTCCTTCTCCTCCTCCCCTTTTCCTTCTCCTCCACTCCGCAAACCCCATAGCCTTCTAGCGCTGATGATGTTACCTAATTGGGGCATGAAACGTCTGCAAGGAAACCACCAAGCTGAGAGAGCACCAAGGACCCCACAGTCCTCCTTTTCCTCCTCCTTGACCCCCTTTTCTCCTCTCCACAAATCCCACGTCCTTCTAGCACTGATGAGATTCCCTAGTTGGGTCATGAAATGTCTGCAAGAAAGCAAGCCAGCTCAGGGAGCACCAAGGACCCCTCATTTGTCCCAGGATCCCAGGGTCCCTTTTTGCAACCATCTGACAAGCAAAGACCACAGGGAAGCCAGATTCACTTAACAACCGTGTTCCTCACTTAATACCTGCAGTGATTCGCTTAACGAATGCAGCAGGAAGTGTCATAAAATGGGGCGAAACTCCCTGAACAAGCGTCTCGTTTAGCAACAGGAATTTTGGGCTCCATTGTGGTCATAAATACATCGAGGACCGCCTGTGTGTGTTATTTTTTTTTAAAAAGGGGCATTTGTGACCCCAGGCCGTTCCTCTTCCCTGCTTTACAGATGTGAAGCCGTCCAATGTCTTGATCAACAAACAGGGACACGTGAAAATGTGCGATTTTGGGATCAGCGGTTACCTGGTGGATTCGGTGGCTAAAACATTGGATGCCGGCTGCAAACCTTACATGGCTGTAAGTGTGGGGGGGGGCTGTGATGCCCCTGTTGGAGTCTGATTCCGAGGGGGAGGTTGAACAGCTGACAGGGAGTGTGGCTCCAGCAGCTGTGGAGGAAACTGAGGAAGGGCACAGTCCGGCTGGGCATTCAGAGGAAGACCCAGGCCCACCCCCTCTGCATCCTAGGGCACGCAGGGAGGAACAGATAAGGGAGCAACATGAGTTGCATGGTTTACGGGGGAGGAAAGGGCCCTGATCCCCTTCATTGGCTGCAGCTGGGAAAACAGGATATAAAGGGTGTTTGGGCACAGCCTGGAAGCGAAGTGTGAACTATCTTTGTTTGTCACGTCTTATCTGGGTTCTGGTGTCCTCCCAACTGTGTGTGTTTCGTTATCTTTTGACGTCTTCAATCCCTTATCCTGTCCTGTCTCGTTAATTGCTGCAGAGTGGTTTGTGTTGGTTTTTACTTATAATCTATGTGTACTTTGGGTTCGGACTGAATTTCTTCCCTTTAAAAACTGTTCTTGGGAGTTTTCTTCAGCCAATGATAATTGGACATTGGGGGCCAAGTTGGAGGAATGAAAGGGACTTTACCTACTATTGTGACTTTGTTGCTTTTGTGCCACGCCCCTTTGGGTCATCACAGGGGTGATTAGGGGTAGGGGGGGAAGAGGAGTCCCTCGTGGGGGTACATGCGTGTGAATTTGGGGGAGAACATCCAATCCTTTTATCCCGTTCTCTCCTTTCCTCTGGTTTTAATTTGCTTTTTTTTCTCTCTCTCTCTCTCTCCCCTGTGCAGCCAGAAAGGATTAATCCAGAGCTAAACCAGAAAGGGTATAATGTGAAATCAGACGTCTGGAGCCTTGGGATCACTTTGGTAAGAAATCCAGGCGGGATTGTGTTGGGATTCAGCCGGTGAGCACCACTTCGGCCAAACCGGTGTTTAAATTTTTATTTGAACTCCACCCCTGAATCAAGGCGATGTTGGGGAACGGTGAGGCAGAAAGCATGAGGACTAGTCACCTGCGGTGCTTTGGAGTTAGTACGGATTAGAGATCCGCCAGGGGAGTTTCCTTGGATCGGGTCTCCCTGGTGGGCTTCCTTTCATCCTCTCCCCTGCAGGCATAGGGAGAGAAATCCAATCTTTGTGGGGTCCTCGGTGCTCTCGGAGCTCTGTGGATTCCCTGAAGACTTTTCACGACCCAAGTAGCGAACATCTGTGACAGAAGGGAGTGGGGTTTATCCTCTGAGAAAACTTCTGCCGCTGATTGATGTTTATGACATGGGTCATGGAACATCAGTTCCATGCAAGGAAGCCACCAAGTTCAGGGAACACGAAGGACCTCACAGTCCTCCTCCTAGCACTGATGGTGTTATGTAGTTGGGTCATGAAATGTCTGCAAGGAAGCCACCAGGTTCAGGAACCCTACAGTCGTTGTCCCCCTCCTCCTCCTCCTCCTCCTCCTCCTCCTCCTCCTCCTCCTCCTCCTCCTCCTCCTCCTCCTTGTAAACCCCACTCCTCCTAACACTGATAATATTATATAGTTAGGTGATGAAACATTTGCAAGGAAGCCACCAAGCTCAGAGAGTACTAGGGGACCCCACAGTTCTCCTCCCCCTCCTCCTCCTCTTCCTCGTAAACCCCACTCCTCCTAACATTGATGATGTTATGTAGTTGGGTCATGAAATGTCTGCCAAGAATCCACCAAGTTCAGGGTACACAAAGAACTTTACAGTCCTTCACCCACTCCCACTCCTCCTAGCACTGATGGTGTTATCTAGTTGGGTCATGAAACGTCTGCAAGGAAGCCATCAAGTTCAGAAATACACCAAGGACCCCACAGTCCTCCTCCTCCTCCTCCTCCCACTCCCACTCTTCCTAGCACTGATGGCGTTATCTAGTTGGTTGATGAAACCGTTTGCAAGGAAGCCACCAAGCTCAGAGAGCACCAGGGACCCCAGAGTTTTGCCGTGAGCCCCAAACGTTCTCTTCCGTTGGAATCCAATCTTCGTCTCCTTCCAGATCGAGATGGCCATTCTCCGTTTCCCCTACGACTCCTGGGGGACCCCCTTCCAGCAACTTAAGCAGGTGGTGGAAGAGCCATCACCCCAGCTCCCAGCCGATCGTTTCTCCAAAGACTTTGTTGACTTCACTGCCCAGTGGTAAGTGCCTCTGTGTGATCTCACCGTCTCCCTGGTGCTTGGCTCAAAGTCACCCAGCTGGCTTTCGTGCAGGGGGTGTTTCTGTTGCTGCAATGACAAATGTTTAAGCCTGGATTAGTGATGTCCTGGGTGTCTTTTTTTTTTTCCAGTCTGAGGAAGAATCCTGTTGAACGAATGAGCTACTTGGAGATGATGGTGAGTTGATCTTCTTTCTTATGGCCTAATTTTAAAATGTTGTATTCAGATTCCAGCAGGTGAGCGTAGGGCAATCTTAGTGCTCCTTCTCCTCTTTCTCCTTCTCCTTCTCCTTCTCCTCCTTCTCCTTCTTCTTCTTTTCCTCCTCCTCTTCCTTCTCCTCCTCCTCCTCCACTTCCTCTCTGCAAACCCCACTCCCTTTTAGCACTGATAGTGTTACCTAGTTTGATAATGAAACGTCTGCAAGAAAACAACCTAGTTCAGAGAAGCACTAAGGACTCTACAGTCCTCCTCCTCCTCCTCCTCCTCCTCCTCCTCCTCCTCCTCCTCCTCACAACGCACCCTTATTGTCCTCTTTCTCCAACAGGATCACCCCTTCTTCACTCTCCACGACACCAAAGTGACCGAGATGGCTTCCTTCGTCACGGAAATCCTTGGGGAAGACTCTTAAATTTTTCCTGCCCTCCCCCCTCCCTCCCTCCCCCTCCCGACCTCGCCGTCGTGCCAAATAAACTGGAGTAGCATCGCCTTCCTTTTCCTCCCAGTGGGAAGAAGCAAAGACGGTTGGAAAACTTCTTCGCATTACCGGCGGTTTGCACAAAAAAAACAGATCGAATGTCTTTTGTCGGCCACCTCCCTCAGCCCCATTTAATCCCACCTTCATGTCTTCGAAAGAGAGAGAGAGACTGGTGGCTGGTGTAGCCTCACCCTGCGTGAAGAAATCTTAGTTTCGGAGCACCGTTTGCGGAGGGGACGGGATGGGAACCTGAGGTCGGTGCCTTGAAATTCTTCACTGCCCTTTTCTAGCCGCCGAGGTTGAATTTTTGCGTGTTCCCCTCAGTAAATTCCTCCCCTTGCCTCCCCCCCCCCCAAAAAAGCAACTGTGGACATTCAGAAATTTTCTAGACTTAATGCAAAACTGCAACACCCTCCGTCCTTTTCAAGAGCTACCGGCGGATGCCGCTGCTAAAAGGAGAAGTTTGTGTTGGCTTTTTAACGCTTGGCAATTTCAGAAAAGAAAAAAAATCTCTTTCTGTAGAAAATCGAGAAGGTTTTAGTCGTTTCTGGGAGTAGGTGTTCTATTTTTAGCAATTCTCTCTTTCTCTCCTTTTTTTAAAAACTCCTTGGCAGTATTCCTCGAGACGCCCAGAATTCTTCAGAAACATGCTGGCGGGGGGAATTCTGGGAGATGAAGTCCACAGATCGTAAAGTTGAAAAGCTGTTCTGGAGGAACAATTCCCCTTCTTCCTCTCCCCCACCCTCCCAAAAAAGCACCCTGCTGGAATGATTTTACAGCCCAATTTCGTGGCCTCTCGTGCTGGATTGCAAAGCTCCTACCCACCCCAGCCTTCCAATGTTTCCTTCAACAAATTCATATACCAAGATGATATTTGCTAGTTTGGGTATTAGCAGCCCGAAGATTACACATCTTCTCAAACTTCGTTGGGCTTTTCAACGTCACGGATGTTTTGATATACGTTTCACCATTAAAAGAGATGCACTGAGCCCCCAATCCCAAAATATTCAGCTATTGTGGAGGGGTCTCGTCTTTGGAGACATCGCTGGAGGTCGAAAATGGTTAATTAAAAAAATTTAATGGCCCCTATTGGGTTTCAAGAGATGGATTTAGGTGGATCACATGAACCAAAGTGAAATTGGGAAGCATTGTTGATCTGGTGGGCTAATTCCTCCTTTCTCTCAACTCTCATCATCCTTTCCTGGACTGTTGGAACTAGGAAGTTCACCTACAAGTTGGAGGATCTACCTTACCTTGAAGAAGTCCAGTCTTCCCCATCACTCCTTCACTCCAAGACGGGTCCACCAGAAACCCTTCCACAAAACTTACCTCCATCTACCCAGGTTTTACACACTTTTGTTCTTTAGTGCCAATGGTGCAGTTTAGTCTGCTGTGCGAACCCAACCGTGAATGAATTGTCCATGATTGCGTTCGCCAAGTCCAAGCACTCGCCATCGCATTGAAGCTGATGAGATTCCGGCCAAGATATCCATCATGGTTTAGGAGCTCCCAAGACTTGGGTTCACACTCATGCACCACATCTTGGCTTGTTCGTGGAGTTAGCCATGCTAGAACCATGGAGGTTAGGTGATGGCTTTTTTCCCCTTCCTGATGGAGAACATCTGGATTGAAGTGGAGACGCTTAGCCTGTGAAGGGTGTGCTTCCTGCACTGAGCCCATTTCTGATTGATATCTATATCTTACTTCTGCAGGGGGAAAAAAAAACCTTAGGAACATGGGTGTGCGAATGATTCTTAAATGGGGAACAAATTAAATATTTTTCCTTGCCTCACCTCCAAAGAACTCTGGAGAATTCTTCCCTTTTGACAGATTTGCTTCTAGGAAAATGTTCTCTTCCCTCCCCTTACCCAAAAAGAAATATTACCAGTGGCTTAATTCATACTTCTTGTTTTTCAATAAATTCTCCCTCCTGCTTTCCCCCCCAAAAGTAAATTATCTTTTAAGCCTGCGTGTATGTTTGTGTGAATGATGAGTAGATGCAGAATAGGCTAGCGGGTGAAATTTGCAGGAGAATGTTAAAAACACAAAGAAAAGGGGAAGTCCATTTTAAGGACACTGGAAAGGATTGTATGTCAGGAGTGTGAGTCAGATGCTAAAGAACAAATTTACCTATTTATTTTATCCGTCCGGTCTGAAGTAATATCCTTAGCCATCTCAAGCTAGGAATGAGTTGCTAGTCCCTGTTGATCCCTTAAAATAGCTCAGCCTTGGCGATGCAACAGATTGAACTTGAACTCTCCTTCTGCAAAGGTGATTTTAAAAATAAGTTTCCCAACTTATTGTCAGCTTTGAAAAACCCTGGTGATCTATCCACCCAGATATTAACCAAATCCAAACAATATAATATTTTCCATGATTAGCTGTGGATCACAGCTGTCCACCCTACTGTAAGGGTTTTTTAAAATCTAGGCTAATTTAAATTGCTCCCTAGAAATTTATTCAGACCTGGGGCCTCTTCCAAGCAATGTTTTCCGTTGAGCTGTCCTAACAGGTCTAAGTTGCTGATCAAACATCTGTTCGTAATTTGAAGGCCACCAGTGTCCTTGACCTCTTTAGATGAGGTGGGTGGCAAAGAAATACATTTCCCTTCCAGATGTTTGACCTTCCCTTCTGAGAGTTGCCACTGCCTTAAGTTACCTATAAATAAAAGCAGAATTAAAAAAATAAATAAATTGCAGATCATGAATGATTCGGGGAGACTATTCCGTCCATTCCCTTTGTAAGTTAAAGTGTTCCACTTTTGGGTTTTGACTTGATCTTATGCGATTTGGGGGAGGGGGTTTTCAGGCCTGGTCAGAGACCTGATGTGACTCCCCCCCCCAAAAGCCCCCACCTCTGTATTGCCATCGCTTGAACTGATGAATGTCACCTGCAGCTTCCGAAATTGAGATACCCCCGTGATGTTTTTTTCCAACCACCTCTTCTAGTTTGTGTTTCCTGCTCGCTCTCTTTTTTTTAACCTCTGCACTTTTCGGAAACAAACGTAGAAAAGGTTTCCTGCCTTTTTTTCTTTCTTTTGAATCCGTTTCTCAACCTGGACCCCTTGAAGGTGCTGACTGCTACAACTCCCAGAATTCCCCAAGCAAGCACGGCTGATGGAATTCTGGGGGTTGAAGTCCAGGCATCTTCAAGATTCTGAATTGGAGCCACACCGGTCTAATCAGATGGCTTTGGGTAGTTTTTGATGCTTCTGCTGGGTATCTGTAATATTTTTTATTTCTTACTGGTTTGGGATTAGCAAGAGGGTGTACGGCCATCGCTCCCGGAGCCTCTCCAGTTCCTTCTCGTGTTTCGATGTTTTCTTTCTTCAAATGCATGCCTTTGGATTTGACAGGGTTTGTTTTTCTTCTTTCTCTTCTCCATCTTGCAAAAAAAAAAGGTTTGATTTGGAACCCAGCAAATGAAATGACCACAGAGCCTTTGTGGACCACGAGCTGGGTCTCCCTGGGGCAAAAGTGACCAGCTTTCCAGGCTGATCTTGGTTTGAAGAAAGCTTGAGAGCACATGAGCCCCAAACTCTCCTTCCATTTTGTTTTTCCTTTCACCACCTCCTCCCTTCCCCCTCAAGTTTCCTGCGGAAATGGAAGACTATTTATATCTAGACAAGGAACTCTGGGTGCTTTTATGATTTGAAAGATTCTCTAATAACTAGTTTGGTTGTTGGTTTTCAATAAAAGACGCTCCCAATCTAGTTTCTGGCTTGGTGGCTTTCTTAAAAAGGGGTGAAGTGTTTGTTTGTTCGTTCGTTCACTCACTGAAATTTTCAACGAAGAGAAGGATTGGATTTGAATCTGAACTAATTGACATCCCCATTACAAGTAGTCCTTGACTTAAATGATTTTGCTTAGTGACAGCTCAAAGTTACAACAAAAAGCGGTGGGCAACCATCTTCTGACGTTGCGCATGGTAGGGTCAAAATTCAGGAATTTGGCAAATGACACGTATTTATCACAATTGCAGCATCCCAAGGGGGTGTGATCACCATTTGAGGCCTTCCCAGCTGGCTTTGGACAAGTAAAGTCAACGGGGAAATATGGATTCACATAATGTCCGCATGATGATAATATGTCCTGCTAAATGCATGGGAAAATGCCATTAGGGGCAAATCCATTTAGGTTTAGGGTTAGCTCCCCATAAATGGACATCGCCAATGGATTCAGAGCACAGAGCTATGCTTAGGAGGGTGCTGACTTTTTGAGCGCACCCTATCTACATTCCTTGGAAAAATACATGGGGAAATCCCATTGGGAAGCAAACCCACTTAGGGTTAGCTCCCCATGAATTTGGAGAACAAAATGGACATTGCCGACGGATTCGGAGCGCATCGGTATAGTTAGGGTGCTCTGTGTGTGAGACACCAATTTAATGGCACATAATCAAATAGCACTGACTGTCTAAGAATAGAGAAGGTTTCTCTCTCTCTCTCTCTCTCTCTCTCTCTTTCTCTTTCTCTTTCTCTTTCTCTTTCTCTTTCTTTGTTTGGGCTATAACATTCTTGTTTAATATTTCACCTGAAAAAGTAGACCATCTAACACCCAGATTTTCATTTTAAAACACTTGAGCTGTTCATCTAAATCCAGGAGTGTCCAACCTTGGCAACTACATGACTTGTGGATTTTTAACTCCCAGAATTCACCCTCCTTCCACTGATTTACCCCAAGGTGGTGCTGTTGGTTTATCTTGCATTCTGCTGGTGTCGAGGATATTTCTAAAATTTAATGCAAGTCTCATTTTTCAGAGCCAATATCTCATTTCTATCTTCGCAGCACTTACTGGGGGAGGGAGGGAGAGAGAGACAGAGATGGAGGGACTGGCACAAGATCATTTGAGTTTTAGAGGCCGAATTTGGTGACTGTATCCGAAGTGCATGTGTGTGTAAAGCTATGTATACCTGTCACTTTTTCATTCCAGTTCAGTTAAACAGAACTTCCTTTCCTGTCTTACCTTTAAGTCTGCTCAGGTCTCCAATGATAAGATCCCCTTCAAACCTGGAAGAAGAGCTAAGAACATGCAACTCTGTGCAATTTGCTTTTTCTTGCTCTGGGTTACAAATTGATTTTTCTCTCTCATCTTCCTTTATCAGCCCATTTTCAAATAGCTCCCAATTCTCTCAATAAAAAGCGACTTATGCCCCCTTCTGCACAGCCAAACTGGTTAAACAGATCAATGTGCCCAACACTCAATGACCAGATTCAGCTCAAATTTTAAGAGTGCAAGTTATCTCTGGCTGCTACGTAGAGCAGAGGTCTCCAACCTTGTCAACTTTAAGACTTGTGGACTTCAACTCCCAGAATTCTCCAGCCAGC